GGTAAGCCGCAGTCCACCTGCCGGAGGATGGAAGAAGAGGGCTGGCCGGGGACAGGCACAGTGCTGCCCATGAGGGGAATCTGACCAGCCCCAGCCTGGAGGGGGGGAGAGGCCGAGGGAGCCTGAAGGGAGGCTGGAGAGTGCCGGATGGCAGCAGCTGCCCCGGGATGGGCAGTAGGTGGAGTGGGCACTCCTGATGTCCATGGGGGAAGAAGCGGTGAGGAGGCTCCGCGCCCAGCCCAGTCCAGCCCTGGCATGGAAAATGAGGCAGCAGCCTCACGTGCGTCCCTGAGCGCGAGCACGCCCCCACCTTGCCAGGCAAGCGGAGCCATGGCATCTGCAGAGAAGAGTGCAGGCAGGCAGTGGAAGGCACGAGGAGCCCTGATCCCGGCACAGGCCCTCCCCATTCTCCTCCTCTCCCCTTCAGAAGAGCTGCGGGACTCAGGAGCTTCCCCCATGCCCCCCACCCCCCAGGAAGAAAACCATCGCGAGACACTCTTCTGTTTTAACTTTTTTTCCTTGTCGCTTTTTGGAGTTTTCATCCTGCTTTCGTGAGATGGCAGCATTTGGGAGGGGGTGTAGCTGCCCTCTTCCCCCCAAGCCATCAGCTGAGCAAGACTGATGATCCTGCCCACTGCCCCACCTGCCAGAAACCCCCTGGATTTGCCCCAACCCTGTCCAACCCCCACAGGCATCCCTTCCCAGAAGCAACATTGAGCTGGCCACACCCACCCAGTCTGCCATGACCCCTGTGGTCACACCCACCCAGTGGGCCACACCCACCCAGCACCCAGCAATACATAAGTGGGTTTTGGGTTGCAGTTTGGGCACTCAGTCTTTAAAAGGTTCGCCACCACTGCCTTAGCATATCTGGAAATTTGATTTGATCTGTAATTGGACCATTTAGTTACTAAGCAAAGTACTGGGATTAGTAGTACTTTGTAAATAGGGAATATAATATGCAAATTTTATCTTGGTAACAACAGATAAAACTGAGTTATCCAAAACATTGTAATATTTTGACTTTATTAACTGATTTGTAACCCTTTCTAGATACATTATGAATTGGTCTAAATTTAAATCAAGCCTTTGTGATCTAACATTGTCAAAACAAAACTATTGATAATTTCAATGGTGCTTGAAGATAATAATGTGCCCTGGGCACCTAATAGTGATATATCTCAGATAATGAAACTGCACTAAAATATATTTCTCTTAGAAATAATAACATATTTGAATAAATACTATAAAATCCAAGTTTTCCATTGGAAATTTTAAATCCATGATTTACATATTTCTGAAATATATTTTCCTAATATCAGTGTGCTGTTTTACAGATGTATTTAGAGAAATCTTCTCCATTAGTTTTCACTTATGAAGCTTCAATTGTCACAGAAAGCTTTGCAGATTTAAATTTTTACTATAAACTGCATTTTGTCTCTTAGATTAATCAATGGTCAATTTTGCCTGCCAGAAACTTGTTTCACAAACTATTTTTGAACTGGCATAGTACTTTGTAGTTCTACATTAGGGTTCTCTCCTAGTATATTTCTTTTCCTATTTTTAAAAAAATATTGTGTGGATGTTCATCTTTTTTGAATTATATACCAACAATTTAGAAAATAATAAAGAATAGAAGTGGATATTTCATTTTTATTATCTCAAAGTATGTATCCTATAAAACTGGAAGGATATCCAATTCCCATCAGATAAAAAAGGACAGTTCACTCTTTTATATCTGAGTAAGTATTATATTACCAGGAATAATTTTTAAAGACATATTTAGAAACCTGAACTATATATTAGTTTTAAAAACTACCAGTTCAATTGGTTTAAATGTTAATAATTTAATTGTACGACATGCCATAAACATGTAAATGTACTGATTACATTTTTTTTAAAAAAAGCAATGCTTGTCTACAAAAGAAAAAAAAATGAAAACGCTTAGAATTGAAAATGATACTTATGGTAATAGGGTGTGGGGAATAGCATAACAATAGCATTTTAAGCTTATATACTTCCCCATAATGTTTTACAGCACTCTCTGGATGGTTTACAATGTAAGCATTACTTGCATATTGCTCACAACAATCTGGTCCATTACCATCAGGACTGAGCTCCAGGCTGTAGGCCAGTGATGGTGAACCTTTTAGAGACCGAGTGCCCAAACCGCAACCAAAAACCCACTTATTTATCGCGAAGTGCCAGGGCCCCATCAGCATTATGGTGCCCTCAGGGGAGGCGGGGTGTGTGTGGCCCACTGGGTGGGCTGGCTGTGGTGGTCACAGCAGACTGAGTGGGTGTGGCTGGGGTGGGTGTGGCCACCTTAATGTTGCTCGTGGGGAGGACGTCTGTGGGGGCTGGGCAGGATTGGGGGAGATCCATGGGGTCTCTGGTGGGTGGGGCAGTGGGCAGGAGGCTCATCCTGCTGGGTGAAGCAGGGGGTAGGGTGGGGGTGCCATTGCTGCGGGGTAAGGCGAGGCAGGAGTGGCTTCTGCCTGACACCATCAACCCCCACACATAGAGGCCAGCGAGCGCATGGGGGCGTGCTCTACCACCTCTACTCAAGCTTGCTAGCCAGCTGCTTCACCTCCTTTGTGCTGGGTGAGGCTGCCGCTCCGGGCACCAGCAGTGGCCTAATGAACCTGCGCGAGCTGGCGGCGGCGGCAGGTGTGCCCACAGAGAGTGCCCTCTGAGTGCTGCCTCTGGCACGCATGCCATAAGTTCGCCATCACTGCTGTAGGCAGAATTTGCCTGCAATACTGCACTTTAACCACTGTGCCACAAGGGCTCTTGAATCCTTGAATGTTTCTGATGAGAACCCTAAAAATAGACTAAACATGAGCAACCTTTTGGTGGCCAAAGACAACACTAATCTCTGTGAAAGACAGGAGTTGCACTGGAAACAACAATAATGCAAAGAAAATGGGAGCAGCAAAATTTACAGTGGGGTGGGGATGGGTTTTTTTTGTGTGTGGCTTATGCAGGATTTTAGCAGTATCCTTCCTTTGCTGTAAATCTGTGTCAGATCTATGCAGTTGTCAGTTTTATTATGAAATATCTGCTCCAAATAATGTGAAATCATAAGTCATTTTTTTGGGAACAAGACCATATAAAACTGCAGTTAGCATACTGTAACAACCATGCAAAAAGGTTCAAGATTTGCATTTGGACCACATATAGTTATCAAAGATAGCACATTAAACATGTAAAAAAAATCCACCTAACAGCAGAGAAGGGGTCTATTTTTTAAATCAATAACCTGGAAATACTTGCCATTAACAACACTATTCTGTTTGCAATATTTTAGTACATAAAAGAACATCTTCTCCCACTCCATGAGAAAAAAATTCATGTCATAGATTGGCTGGAGAAGATTAAGATAAACTCTATATCCCGAATGCTAAGGGGACAAGCAGCTAAACATAATATTAAATCCCAACTAGGCTTCCAAATAAGACATTTACCATTTCTCATATATAAGAATCCATTTTCCATTTCTCTGTTTTTATAAAATCAACAAAGCAGAGCAGAATGAAACAAGTAGAAATAATTTAATGTCTAAAGGAAATGCTAAAATTGATTTTTTTTAATATTCAATTGAGAGGGGACAGATTAATGAGAAAAATAAAGATGATATTTCTGGCCTAAGATCTGCAAGGAATATACACATACAGAAAAGGTTGGCTTTTATTTACTTAAATCTTCCAAGTCTGAATTTCTCTAGTAACATGATTTTAAACATTTAAAGCCTGTTTACAGGGAGACTCTGAAAGTAGCTTCAAACCATTATATCCCTAATTGAATTCCCCAGGAGCCTGGTAAACTCAAAGGAATAAAGAAAGAAATCATACCATTTGCTAAATCATCTCTAAGCATTTCTCACTGTGAAGTTCCGTGACCTGTTACAAGCTTGAATTGATGATTGCAACTGAACTGCTGAACCTCTGTTATTTAGATGAAAATCATATAAAATGCTGCCCAGTTGAAATAAACAAATTAAATCATACCTGCCTTCACTTTTTATCTCTAATTATAAAGAAGGCTTGCACAAAAGAGTAAAATGTGTACATGCTGATGAGAAAGAGGGACAGATATATGTAATTTTCCTATAAGACGCGGGTTACTCTTCACGTGCAAATTGGCATGGAAATGGCTAAATAAATTCAAAAGAAATTAGACTGTGGTATACAGAAATGAAAGAAATATGGTTGTGCACAGTCAATTATCTCATGTCTCTAGTTAAAAGAAGATCTAGACTTGCAAAAACATTCTGTAAAACTACACATTCCCCACCTCCGTGATATCCTTTTGTGTGTATAAACAGAACACAAGGGAAATTAATCATCGAATCATATCTTATATCCTCTCATCTACATCATTGTTTTTATTTTAACTTTCTTTCTTTCTTTCTTTCTTTTTCTTTCTTTCTTTCATTCATTCATTCATTCATTATTATTATTAATAATAATAATAATAATAATAATAATAATAATAATAATAATAATAATAGTAATAATAGTGATAAAGTTGGAAGGGACCTTGGAGGTCATCTAGTCCAAACCCCTGCTCAGGCAGGAAACCCTATACCATTTCAGACAAATGGCTTTATAAAAACTTCCAGTGTTGGAGCATTCACAGCTTCTGGAGGCAGGTTGTTCCACTGGTTAATTGTTCATTCATTCATTCATTTATACATACCACCATGTCCCTCAGAGAGGGTCCCTGGGCAGTGTACAGTGTATAATCAATAAAATTAACATTAAAAATAAAAAAATTAAGATTATTTTTTAAAAAAATTATAAAAATAACATTATAAATTTTCAAAAGGTGAAAAATTCCAGCAGTTGTTAATATAGGTGGGGGGGGGCTTCTCATGGGGTGTCATACCTACAGTTGTGTGGGCTTCTGTGGCCCCCATGTAAGAATGTACAGCCACATTTTGTCCCCTTTGCGGAAAGCCAAGATATATAAACAGCTGTATATTCTCAGCAACTTACCGGGTTTATAAGTTATTCCTGGGGGGAAAAGGAATCCCTGCTGGGCTGCTGCAGCCGCTGCCAATGTCCGCTGGTCATGTGGAAAAATTGGGATCATGAGAGGAGGCATGTGACCCTGAACCTGCTAAACAGAAAAAAATATCAGGTCAGAAATTGCGCCAATTGGTCTTAACAAATCTCTCATTATCAACAATAGTTCACAGAGTCACACTGAACCTTTTCGTCATCATAATTTCACAAGACAAATGCCATTAGAATCCATGGGATCCAATGTGGTATATTCACCATCCTTTCACTTCCTTGCTTTGGAAAATACCCATGATTTAAAATTAAAACCACTTGCCTTTCAATTAAAAAAGTATTATTTGTCATATGTATCTCATTGTAACATATAAGCCATTTTATGGATGTAATCACTAGCACAGTATCTGATGATAACAGAATATTTTTGAATATGTTCCACTGTTTTAAATTTCATTTGACCTTCATTGACAAAATGAAAAGCAACAATTAAACATTCAAGTAAAAAAACCCTGCAAAAACAGTTTTATTTTAGGTTTGTTAGACCAGACATTTGACAATGAGCTAGCAAAATTAGATGCAAATATTCCTTTCCAAAGTTCAGCTTTAGTTTCTGAAATCCTTAATTCATTGTTTATCATAAAAGAACTGGAAGTATTTTTTTTTAAGTGTGTGTATTTGGGGGGAGAGAGGGGAGTAATGCGAAAAGTGGGAAATCATATTCAGAAATAATATAATGATTTTAATTAAAATTATCAGTAACTTCAAGCCAAAAGGATCCTTATGGATTAAAATAGGAAGTATAAAATTATTTTATAACCAGAAAAAGGTTTATACCTTGTCTTGTTCCAAGTGAATGGCAACAAACTCCATTACAAAGTCAAAATGAACTTCAAGCACTTTTTTTTAATTCCAAAAAATAAAATAACCCTGGTAAAAAATCCATATGCTGACCTATGACACTGTTTAAATACTGTCAGATTTTCTTGTCATATCCATGTTCCTCTCCCACTCTCTGATGCAGACCAGAAAGGCTACTGTGTGTACACTTCTAAGAGAGTTAATTTACCAACAACTCTTCTCTGGGGAAAAGCCCTAAGATGTAGGTTAATAAAGGTCAAGAAAAATATAAACACTTTACAGTATTTTTCAGAATCCATTTCTCAGGAAAATCAACTTATAATAAAAAAGTCTTTGTGCAATTACTACCATAGCAATGGGGCGTGACAGAAAGTAGCTTTGAGCAGCCATTTCTTTTATTTTAGCTGAGGTAAGCCTGCTTCTCCACTTCAGCAGCATTTGTAATATGGTTAAATTGAAGTTGATCCTCCTGTGTCCAGTACCAACATTCAATAATACTACTAGCTTTATTCATTCATCCTGGGTCTCTGAATAACTAAGAATCAAATATAGTTTCAGTGTTCAGTTGTACTAGGAAAACTATAGCTTTTTGTAAGAATGTGATGCAGCATTTTTTTATAATCACCCTGAGTACTTTCAGCATGGTACTGAATCAATTGGACTAGGCTACTCTCGCAACACAGGATGACCAGATGCACTAACACAATAAAATAAAATAAAATATCCATAGAGTCTTTTCTTGAATAACAGGAAAGAAGCAAAAGAGCCACAAATTTGAGAAGGATGAAAAAGTAGACACACAAATACATTGTACATTTCTGAAAGTTAATAAGAACTAAAAGTATGAATCTACTATTCAAATCCATCTTCTCAGAGAGTGTGCCAATATGATTTCTTGAAAATTAAGATGAGTATTGGTTGGCGTTTAGCTTTGGAGTTACCAACTTACTATTAATAAAATCTGAACAATAAAGTAGAGCAAGAGGCAGAGCAGAGGTATCCTTGGGCATTATGCTACTTATTCCTGCTCTGCCTTCCAAAACTATGATACCATAATCCTTTGGGCAACAGGAATTAGTTCTCCTCTCTTGCCAATGTGATACATCATCTGGTGGTCAAGTTTACTGAACAAATATTTTACTGAATGATCTCTAAATGCTTCTCCCACAATGTGGGAGGAAGAACCCCTAAAATAAGAGAGAAGCAAGAAGGAGAAGCACAAGAACAACAACAAAGTTAATATGAGACAACACAAGTAGTTTATTGAAAAATGTCATCTTTCAAAACAAAATCATATCATAAAATCTCAGTAAGGAGAGCTTACATAAAATGATATACATTTGTATGGAATGAATCAAGGTAAAACAAATACAGTAAATCACAGAGATAGGGTAGGTAATAGGGACCAAAAACCCATTGCCCAACCAAAACACTAGAGATGCCAAGTCAAGAATCAAAGGAACCTCCCTAGCTTCAAAACAAACAAACTTGCAGAGATGGAGATCCAAATCAGGAATATGGCAGTCTTTCTGAACAGACTTCAAGCAAGCTTTGCAGAGATAGAAAAAGTTGATCCAAGCAATCATATCATACATATTCCTAGGACATTTAATTGCTTCCCTGTTCATTGAATGTTTCTGAAAAATGAATGTACCAGCAGATGCCAAAGAGTCTCTTTCCTTCACAAAAGCCATGCATTTTTGCACCAACACCTTTTTCTTTTTGTCTCCTCTGCTAACTTGATGCTGTTGCCTTTTTATTTTTGCCATCTGCCCTGGAGCTTCATTAAAGATACATGAATGGACTAACTGGCCTGATATCTTGTGAGGAACAGGTGCTATTGTTTGTCCCTGAAGACTTGCACTAAAGATCTGACTCTGAATACTTAAGAAAGAGCATCTGCAGCAGTCAGTCAGAGAGCAACTTGGCAAAGACCTTGCAGTGTGCTAATGTACAAACACAGTGACACTCAAGGGGACTCATTTCCTCTTTCATGAAGATTTAACTATTTTTTTTCCTTATACGATTAGAAATATGTACAGAAAATTTCACAATACTCTTTAAAGCCTGTCAGTGAATTCCAGGAGCAAAACTATGAAAGCCAAATTTATTCTGCGTGAAATATAAATAAAGACAGCTGTTGAAGACTTTCCGGATTTACACTGAAAATACAAATGAAATAATCACAGGTTTTTCATGTTTGATAGTCAAATGCTAGCCTGGTCTTAAGTTCTTAATTTCATTCCTAATTAATGATTTAGTTCTAAAGTCATGGGTTATGATTAGATGGCTATTCTAATTCTTTCTCTCTCTCCCTATATTCTTACTATCTACCTATCAATCTAATTTAATATAAAACAGTTTTGTACGAAAGAACATTAGGGTCATAATCCTACTGAGAATTTAGGTATGAACAGCATTTGTGATGTAACGCTTTTCAAGCCTCCTAAGAATTAGTAGATTGTCATCTTTGTGCAGGCTACAAATATCATTGCTATTAGATTAGAAACAATAGATTAATTAAGCTAGCCAATGCTTTGAAATTGATTAATATGGACAATATTCTTACATATATTAATAACAATAGGTAATCATTTAATATGTATATGGCATATAGTATATACATAGAGACACACAGAGAGAGAGAGAGAGAGAGAAACAGAGAAGCAAAGAGAGAGTATATAAGAATAATAGTATTAATTTTCCCCTTTCTGAACTTTGAATAGGATCTCAATTCAGTGACGAGGAGACTTGAAATAGATTTACTACTGCACTTGTCACACAGCTTTATTTTTTTCTCTTTACTAACTGCCCTATTACAAATTTATTTTGGCCACTACTGTTGTTTGCAATGCGTATATCATGTCATCATTAGGAACTGGGAATTTTTTCCATTTAACTATTAGCAAATTTAGGCAGTGCTAAACTGCAGGAGGGAAGAGGAAGACAGAAAAATAGAATGTTTCAATTCTTATTAGACCAGACAAACTGTAGCCTGTTTACCATATTTGCCATCAAATAAACAGCAACCCTTTCCGTGTTATTGCCTTGTCATGTTAAGAGTGGTTTGCATGGCTGACAGAAGCAGCATGCTGGTATTACGAAGCAGAGAAATAGGATTGGTATAGACAATTTTATCTTCCTCAAAGGCTGGTTGTCCACCTGACAAGACGTGAATGGTATCCATCCTACTTTAATTTCATAAATAATTTCATATTCATGGCATGGTAAGACGCTTTGAGATTCAAGTACCTAATAAGTTAGTAACATGTACCTAATCACTTTGGTGTAGTGGTTAAGCCATTAGGCTATAAACTCGGAAACCATGAATTCTAGTCCTGCCTTAGGGACAAAGCCAGCCGGGTGACCTTGGCCAGTCATTCTCTCTCAGCTTCAAGAGGGAAGCAATGGCAAGCTACTTCTGAAAATCTTGCCAAAAAAACTGGGACTTGTCCCAGAACTGGATAGGATTGAATGAAAAAAAGTTACAAATATACAGTATATTTTAGAGTTTTGTATGCATATTTTAGACACTCATAGTTTTTAGCTTGATGTCTTAATCACTACATCAAAATGTTTCGATTTTACTACTATATATATTTTAAATATATCCATATATACACACAGTATACAGTAATCTTATTTTATATCCTATATAACATTTTGTGTTCTATATCCTATTATATTCTGTGCTCTCTTGTAAAAAGGAAGTTTATTAAGAATTTTTCTAAGTTTATTTTAGTGATATGAATAATTGTGAATACTTTGTTTAGAAACTATGTATTGACAATATTCAATAAAAGAAATAATTTATTTTCCCTAAATTAATATTTTTTTCTTCTACTAACCTTATCATTTGTTTGAAACAAGGCAGTGAATAAGTCATATATACATGGAAAACATTCTACATAAATACAATCAAAACATCCATAATAAATTATGCATATATCAATAATGATTGTTAAAAAACATATTTTATAATTGTAGGAAAAGCTATGTGATTATTTAACAATAAATTAGTTCCATTCTGCAGCCCAATTAGGTTGTCTTTCCTTAATGTTTGCTCTTCTTGAGAATCATTCCAACTATAATTTGAAAAGGATATATAAAAATTAATATAATAGTGGTGTTCACTATGAATAGTGATTCGCAATACATTTATAATAACTGTGAAAACAGTGAGCACCTTCATATTTATTTATTAATTGTGTAAATTTAATAGTTTGCTTGTTTTGTAAGTTA